AGATAGATAGATAGATAGATAGATAGAGAAAGAGAGAGAGAACTGTGTATAAAGGTTTATAAACATAGAAGCAAAATAATATTTACATGTAAAGGTATGATCCCAAATTCATGTTGATATAATGACTGTAAGGTGTTATAGAAAGAAAAAATAATAATAAAAATTTTTCAAAAAACCCCCAATCTAAATACAACTGAGTAGCACGAAAAGTAGCCCTAACTAACTGCTAATCTTTCTTCAGACTCTCACAGTTTTCACACTGCAACATGAATTTGGGATATTAATTTTTGATGTATTTTTGTATGACCTTTTGAGTGTTTCACAAAATGCTAGACAAAATCAAGAGGGATATAGACGGAATTTATAGTCAGCATATTCACATTATTTATCTTCTTTGATGTAATTGATCAAAGTTACATTTGGGAAACTGTGAAGCAACTCCAGGTTACACTTAAGTTACATTAGTTAAGCTCAAATACATCTTTTTTTTTGCCACAGACATTTATTAGATGGTAAAACTCAACATAAAGATGACATGAGTAAGAATATTAGTAATAAATGTAATGTGGTGGCGGTAGTGGGAGGAGAGAAACTTACAGTTTGGCTTCTTTTCCATGAACTGTCTTTTGCAATAGATAACACACAGGATGAAGAGCGCTGAAAGTACAGTTGCCAGTGCACTGCATATCACAGCAGCGAGAGCAGTGTCTCGTGGGCTGGAAACAGTTGATGGGATTTTCACCAAGTTCACTTTTGTGGTGCCTATATATAAATAAAAGCATACCTCTTATTGATATGAAATTTTAGGCAGGGAAGAACAAAAAAACATTTAGGCACATGTGATAAATCCTTTTAAAACTTTACACAGCACAGCACAAAGAGACTAATAAAATTGGAAATGGCCAATGAAGTCAAACCCCACTAAGTGAATGAAACCAAAGAAAAATATTTTTAGTGAATGCTACCATTACTCAATCTCTATTTGAATATAACTAGCAAAAGGAACTTATCTTTTTCAGTAATTCATTCCGCTGTCAAACTACTCTTAAGAGCAAAATGCTTTCTCCTACAACTCAAATGAACTTGTATTGTAACTTAAGACTGTTATTCTGTACACTTTGAGATGACAGAGAAAAACTCTTGTCCTTCTATTGGCATCTATTCAGACATTTGAAGAATCTTACTGATCTCCTCTCAGTTATCTTTTCTCAAAGGAAATCCTACCCCAGTTCCTTCAATCTCTTCTCATATCAGTTAATTTCTAGTCCCTTGATCTTCATCACTGTTATAGAGCCAAGGTGGCGCAGTGGTTAAATGCAGCACTGCAGGCTACTGCTAGATCAGCAGGTCAGCGGTTCAAATCTCACCGGCTCAGGGTNAGAGAGAAGTTCAAAATGTAAGAAATGGACACAACAAAATTATGCTTTTCAGTACTAACAAAAGTGCAACAGAACTTTAAAAAGCAACATTACAGAGTAGAATATAGTTAGAATATAGTTAATTTACCTGAATTGGATTTTTCCTGCATATTGTACATTCCCCTTTCCCTTTCAAATTAGTGATTGAATCTGTCAGAAATGTCTGTTCCATTGATTGAAAACTCTACAGGATATATAGTCCAATCTATCATGTAATAAGGCCAAACAAATATTCAGTAGAAGAGTTAGCAAAAGGCAGAAGTTAAAAACCTGAAGTACCTTTCATGAAGTGTAGTCTGAGAGTGAAAAGGACAGCTATGACAACTACGTTCAAAGCTACAGGACTCGTCACAGCACAACGATGGAATCAAATGCACTGGACCTTGAAGAAAGAAAACCTTAAATAAGAAACAAATTGCAAAGTGTTTTCTAGAAATACAAATAATTTATACTTGTTGAGACTAGCTTTGAGCTGGTTCACACAAGTCCCATAGTGTATACTTGACACATAGTGAAGAACAGCTGTTGGCCTCTGGCTTTTGCCTCTCTGTTATGTAAGAAAATATCAACAACAAAAGGGGTTGTTTAGATCCCATTAGAATTTAATGCCTAGCCAAACAATCCGTCATCCATCCACTTTGGGGAAAGGGGCAAGTGAGGGACGATGATATGGAATTGCGTTCTACACAACAATCATATGTTTGAGAATGACACAGCACAGGCCTCATATCTGCTCTTATACAAAATCTTCATAACACATTTAGCCTTTGCAATGGTCGTGTTGCATTTAGCCTTCATATAGTTTTAATTATAGAAACATATATTTTTATATTTGTAATTTTGATTTGCTTTATATTATTAAATGCTAGTAATTCTATTATTTTAACCCTATTGGGATCTATGCTATTAAATAGCAATGTATCCATAAATTACTTTTCTATGCTTCTTTCAAATTTCAGTTTCACTGTGTTTCTCCTACTTAGACTAACCCAGCAAGTAACTAGAGACCATACTTACCACACATCTGTAATGAATCCTGCTGGCCCCGGCAGCATGTTCTATGTTCATATATATTAAGTTGTGATCTATCAAAACATGCAAGTTCTGACCCTTCATAGTGAACATCCTGTGATTGTACAGACCCTTTAGAACAGAGAAGATATTGACACTGGGTGTTAACCCATTTTATTTACATTTAAATTATTCTATAATCATATTTAGTAACATTACATTTTAACTTAACTTAGAGCATCTATTATAAAAGTTTTCACGTAATATGAATTAAACCATTTTAATGGATCTTGTTGCTTTATGCCTATTTCAATATGTTCCCCATGATTTTCTAATTTTAAAAATCTAAATACAGAATTTGGAACACAAATTATAAACTAACATGATCAGTAGCACTCAAAGAAAATATGTATAAAATGTTTTATCGTTGGCATTTAACACCAACGAGATTGGCTAAAATGTACCAAACATGAATCCGACCTGCTGGAAGTGTAAAAAAATACAAGGGACTTTCTATCACATATGGTGGACCNCTATCAGCTACAAACTAATAAAGAATTATGCCACAGACTAGCACATGAAAGGACAGCATGAAAATCTTAGAAAAAATATACAGATGCTGTGACCTACAAAGATCAGCATCATTCAGGCAAAAGTTGGAGTTTGAATAAGCACAAAGGGAAGAGTACTGAAGTTTTTGAATGTTGGAGAAAACTCACGAGAAAACGTCAATCGCCAAGAAAATAATGAACAGATCACAGAATGAGTCAGCCAAAAAATTTGTTTAAAGCACAAATGGGCAAATTATCATATTTTGGAAACATAATATAAAGACCTAGCTTTTCTGATAAGTCCATAATGTTGGGAAAGACTGAAGAGAAGTGTGATCAGCAAGTGTGATGGCTATACCACTGAACGTTTTGAAGGGACGTATCAGGGACAGAATTATACTGGTGAGGGTCTACCTATGTGATCATCAAGTTGACACCAACTTTATGGCTCATAATCAATCATTCAATCTTTTTGCATATATCACTGTTTGACATAGGCAACATAATCAATATGAATGTTGTTGAAATGAACAGTATATTATACATAATTTATACTTCCCTGTCCTTCGGTTTTTAATATGTGGGCTGGTGGGTAATCTAATTATATAAAGTGTAAATTACGCATACAAAATGACCATTGTCCACAGATAGCATAGATAAAGGATAAAGATGACAAAATTAATTTATGAAAGAGCTTTCATGGGTGAAATTTCTATACATATTTTATCAAAAGTTTTACACAATACTGAAATGCATGTCAGATTATTTACAAAATTTACATAAATGTGATTCCTCATGCAAAAATTATAGAAACGTGAATTTTGCAATAATGTTAACATAGTACCCTGCATACCTATCTGCCTCGGATGTCTGACCTTACATTCTAGTTTTTTGTGGGCCTCGCCTTTCAAATAACTATGGATAAGACTGCATTCCCTCAATTATGTATTTGTGGGTTAAAAATGTAGCTTTTAAGATTGCAGTTTTATCCATATCTACTGAGAAAATAGATCCCACTGAATTCAATTTTTATCCACAAGGAAGAGGGAATAGTATTGCAGAGTGGCAGAACTATTCTAATGCTCTCTTTGCTACTATTTTAAAGAGTAGAAGTAATTACTGATATATACATCTCTACCTACTTCTTCAAGCAATGAGATTTCTTTTTAATAGTTCCACTGCTGAGCTATATTTCCCTGCAGTTTAGAGACATGGAAACAGGTTGGAAATTAGGTAGAGAGTTTTGGATTCTGAATGCTTTCTGCTCTAACTATTCATTTCTTTATTTAAAAAGAAGAAGAAATGTAAGGAATCCTAGGATCCTGAGATACTCTCCAATGGGCCAAGGCCATTTATAATTTGATTTCAAACTTTTTTTAAAAAAATGTATAAAAAAGCACATTAAATTTCACTGATATAGTCAATGCCTGGTATAACTAACAAAACATCCCTACTGAAATAAATGACATCTAATGTGTTTTTTTGAATTATGAAATTCTGCCAAACACCAGCATATAACAGCAGTTATTTATAGGGGAAATATTTCATTGAAAATTGGTGTTATTTTACCTCCAGGGTAGGCAGCACCAAACCCACCAGGACTTAGTTCAAGATAAACATCAGAGAGCTGCCCTATAAAGAGCCGTGCAAAAGACTTTTGAGCACCGCTTTTCAATTTCTACAATGTGTTTTTTTCCATATAAACACTTATGCAATACTGAACTGTGAAAAGCAGAGGAGATTTCCAGGTTCACAATAAATAAATATAGGCAAATCAGAAATTTTCATTTTTCATAAAAAGGATTCTTTGCAGTGCTAGGATTCTTGGCACATTCACAGGGATTCAACACAGCTTTTTGTTGCAAATCCTATCAAATGCTTCCTTTTGCCAATATAATAAAGGATAAATTCCTGTCACACGTCTGCTGTTAGTACATATACTGAGAAGACTATTCTACCGCTTGTTAGCCTTACATAATCTCCTTAGCTGTGAGTTCAATCCATCAAACTATGTCTGAATGAGGGAGAACCCGCAGTTAGCTGCCCCTGGTCTTTGACCACACCGCTCCTTGAAATCTTCTCATACAGCTGCTTTGTTGCAAATCCAAGTGCCAAAGAGCTTTCAAATGCTGCCAATTTATTCCAGCTGTTTCTGAAACAGTACCACTGAGACCCAGGCAGCATTCCATTCACAAACATTAGAGAAGAGGCACTCAATATAAGGGCTGCCAGGAAAGGTCATGCGGATTCCTAAAAAAAAGAAAAGAAAAATGTTAAGACAGAATACAGCAAGTCTCTCTTATTTCTGTCCTCCATTTTATTAGCAATAATCTAAAGGCCTTTGTAGGCCACTTAACTTTTCATTGCGACAGAAAAAAAACTACCTTTCTTTTTCTCTTGATATTTTTCTTCTTGACATTTCAGATCAAGGACTTTTCAATCCTATTCAGAGAAAGCTTGTAGTGCATCTGCAACTGCTGTTGTACACATACAATGTTACAGTTTTATTTTCAGATGATCTCATTAGTTAATGAAAGATGACAAGATCTGCTAAACCAAACACATGAACTTTTTTTCCTCACCTCTCTGCTAGCCTCCAAAGATGGTAGAAACCCCCAGAGTGGAAACTACAACAGGAGCAACTGAGGAAGCCTAAACCTCATTTGACACATCCAAAACCCAAGGACAAATTTGGAACATCTCTAAAAACAGAGATGTAAACATTTCTGCAGCCAATAGAAACATTATGCACAACTAACAATTGGTCTCCTTCTCTAACTCATTCCTACATGTCCACTCAACAGTTTTAGAGGACTAAGCTGCAACAGTGTCCCAGGGGTCTCCAAAGCTTTGCTTTGCTGCCTGAGGAATTCTGGGAGTTGAAGTCTACAAGTCTTAAAGTTGACAAGGTTGGAAACCCCTGAAGTAGAGGAACTCATACCAGGAGGAGCTGCTACCCCATGGGAATCAGTCTGGCCTTTTCCTGCTTACATTGAAAAAGATTCTCAAAGAGAATTGTTCAGACAATATTCTAATTAGATCAGGCCTTCTCTAGTATTTTGGGGGGGCTTGCTCTATTCTTGACTTTTTATTTATTATTATACTGCTTTGATTTTATTCTACCATGAATGTTTTAGACTTCTTTTTCCATGTCAAGTTAATTGCTGACAGTCATTTGTAGTGAGATATAAATGTAACAAATGAATTATACAAAATACCAACCCAGAAAAGTAGTTTTAAAAATAACTTTTTGTCATTTTCTCCCTGTGGTGTGCATTTAATTGAACAAGAAAATAATTATTCCAGACAATACTGCTTAACAGTTTCATTTAAACTATCTAGATAACTGTGCTTACCTGTTTATCAGTTTGTTCTGTCATAATCTGTTGCTGAGAATGGTTCAACAGCCAAAACCTGATTTAAGGGAGCAGTGATACTGGAAAGTTCATGTGATTCTGTCAAGCTTCCGAAATGAGGGTTTGTAGATGTGACTATATTTAAATCCTGTTTGTTATCTGAATCCATAGCGTCACTTTCTATCTCTAAGGGGCTGAAAAGGTTTTCATCTTCTCCCACTAGTTCAGAGTATGATTCAGAGAAAGAAATACTATCACAACATTCTGGTTTTTGGATGAGAGGCCAAGCATCTGAAAGATCTCCACAAGTGGAATGTGAAAGAGAACCAAGAAATGCTGGAATCATTTCTCCAACAGAATTTGAATTCCTGTAAAAAGTTGAGAAAGAAGACATTTAACAAGGATTCAACATAAGATATATATATATACAGTATGTATGTATATGTGTGTGTGTGTGTGTGTGTGTGTATGTATGTATATGTATGTGTGTATATGTATGTATGTATGTATGTGTGTGTGTGTGTGTGTGTGTGTATGTATGTATATGTATGTGTGTATATGTATGTATGTATGTATGTGTGTGTGTGTGTG